TTACTACAATTATCAAATATTTTTATCCAATATTGAACATTGAAATAAATTTTATTATTACATATAATTTAAATAATTATATTTTGAATGATACAAAACAACCTTGGTAAAAATTAAGATAGAAATATAAATACAAAAAAAAAGTGACATAAACATAATTAACAAAACTTCTAAGAAGCACAAATTAAAACATTGGAATATAAAAAGATTTATTTTGAATTTAATATCCTAATTTATACTTTTTAGAAACTTTTGTCGCTTTCCTCGCTATGCTTATGCTTTGCTCTTCGTTTTTGCTAGAGCACAATAACATTATAATTTCAACATAGTACAAAGAATTACCGTTGTTGTTATTTTACTGGTTTCTGTAGATGAAATAGCACCAGAAGGTACCACAGGCTTCATTAAGGACAACTTCGGATTCATATCCAGGGACACTGATTTGCCTACTAAATTGCCAATTCCTACCGATCCAACAATAGTCTGAGTCGGTTGAATATTCTGTATATTACTATGAACTACACTCTGTACGTTCTGTACACTTTGCACACTTTGCACATTCTGCACGTTCTGCATTGTAGTCAAGTTTTGCACCACAGTCTGTATCGACACAGTCGTCTCTGGCATACGCTTGTCATCACTGCTACTTACGGTGCTCATTTTTAAAAGTGCTGTCGAAATAAAACAGACAAATTAATGACACGTCGATGTACACACATGATGAGAAGCAATCAGCAGACTAAAAAGCTTTTTTCACAAGATTAACGACGGGATCACAGGGATTTACGCGGGAGTTGACCAGCCAGTGGCTCGAGACATATTGAGCTTGATAGACGGATAGTTTTGTGCCAATTAGGGAGCGTCGTTCCCCAGTCTTAAACATCGAAGGTTACGCTGTCCTTGCTGACGCCTGGCACGACAGAAGACTTGGCTGGGGACGCGTAGCCACCGCATCATCGATTTCGCGCGCTCCTGAGAACGAAAGAACGAGCCACGTAAAGCCAACAACATTTTCTCTCTCTTTCCCTCATCGAATTGCGTTTCGAGCGGTTTCCGCACCAGTCAACTACCCGCGTAGCGTCGCCGTAGAAAATGCGTATACCTTTCAACGTTTTCAGACAATCGTCAGTCGTAAATGCACGATTGAACACAACAGGATTTGGACTTGTGGGCCACGCAAAGGTTCGATTCAAGCAGCAACACATACCACAGCCTGTATAACACTCTTTGCATCGCTACAAACGTTTACGCGGCGCGTAATGCTGCGATAGGATCACTGATGACACAGTACGGTGGTGCGGGAAGGCGGTCTTTGCTGGAAAGGCGGTCAGAACGAGCGTTCGAAAAAGCCTCGGCCGGGGACTGAGCGGGAATCCGGTAATCGCTGCCTATGATTGGAGTAAACTTTTAAGGCTACGATTCACTTTAGCGCTACAAAAGTTTCGAAGCGTTTGATTAGCCAATCAGAACTAAGAATTTTATAAATTGACCAATCAAAAAATACTTCAAAGCATTTGTAGGACCAAATGGACTGCACCGTAGATACATGTAAAATATAAAAGAATACTAAAGATATGGTAAGTATACCTATCCTTAGTGTATAAAAGCCATGGTGTAAAGAAACAAGGTGTGCTCTTGCGAATGAAAATGTTTAACCAATGAGGATAGTGGAACAAGTAGCTGGCCATATTAATATATCAGTCAATCAGCGTTTTTCTTGCGAATATTTAAAATGTAGTAGTATAAATAAGGACGGACAATTCATGAATTTATTTAATTGAACTACTATTGCGACTTTTATTATTAATAATTATTAAATCCTCTATTATCAAGTCACATGTCACGTAGTCACAAATTTGTTTTTTTACAAATTTGTAAAAACTTTATTATTATTTTTCAATATGGAAGGCGACTTGTTCCAACGCCATATCTGCGCAGATGAACCCAAAGTGTGTCTACTTCACGAACACACTTTGTTTCTTTACACCATGATTTTAAGTAAAATTAATAAAATTAGTAAAAGCCGTTTTCGGCTCGCTATATCGGGCTAGTGCACACTAAAGACCGCTACACATAAAATAAAGAGCATCCCGTTCGATCACATTGAAATAGCCACTTACAGCGACCAATGCCTGGAGATTTTTCACTGGCTTAACCAATCAAATAATTTTATTTTAAATTGGCCAATCAGCAACGTGGGCAATTGAGCGCCATCTCATAAAATATCTAAATGTAATAGCATATTATTTCTTTGATAATAAAATTATTAATTCACATTTATCTAAGACTGTGTTCATAAATTTACTGCCAATACCGAAAATCTATAGAATACGTAGACTGTATGTTTTTAATATTGGCAGTGAATTTACGAACACAGCCTAAATAATACGATAAATTCATTGACTATTTATATAAACATTTTGAAATGTTTATGTATTTTTATATTTCCATAATTTCATGTATATCCTACCGTTTAATATGCCCCCAACAGCAAGCCGAAATTGCTATAAGTGAGCAATGTAAATGTAAATATATATATATATTAAAAAATATTGAAATAATAATAATAAACTAAATATTACATTATGATGTTCAAAATTTTAACAATTATGCATGCAACTCCTTTAAAATCGTCGGTCTTTAATAATGGTTTTGTAAAACATATATGCATATTTGTACAGTTACGTAACATAAACTATAGATAAATTCATAATGCGTTTTATGGAATTCGCTAATATTTTATTAGTCCTTTACGAAAAAGCAGCCAATCAGAAGCGTCAATACGTACTATACCAGCAGAGGGCGGCTCTGTTCGTAAAAATCAATTGATGGTGGTTTCTCTAATTTTCCGGTAAGCTCGGGTCTTTTCTGCATCGCGGCAAGATGGGTGAGTGGTATCGTTTTCTCGAAATTTATTTTAATCCGTGCGAATCCGAATTTTCTCGTTGCAATATCATAATGAAAAGCGAGCTGTGCGTAATTCGAACATTGTTCTATTGTCAGCGAAAAATATTATCTTTATATTCTCGTTTCGGTTCGCGAAAACTATCTCGATGATCGTCGACTCGGAGCGGCGACATGCTTTGAATGCGAGCGCGTTGATTGTGCTTTCAATTTGTGTCTTTTGTTTATTTAACAACAAGCACCATGCTCTAAACAAATACAGACACTTTGAATTAGTTGTATGCAAATTATATATCGTATAGAAAAAGAAAGTCAATACGATGTGCTCCATTTAATTAGGTTAACTTTCCTTTTCTGACGAATTTTCCCGTGAGTCTATGTCGCTAATGTTAGGTTTTAGTAATTTACATTGTTTGTTTATATTGTATTTTAGGTATCTCCCGAGATCATTGGCATAAACGGCGAGCCACTGGTGGAAAGAGGAAGCCCATCCGTAAGAAGAGGAAATTTGAATTAGGACGTCCAGCTGCAAACACCAAGCTTGGACCACAGCGAATTCATACTGTAAGTTCAGACTTAACTTAGATTATAAATGAATTCTAAAAATCAATCGGCATTAATAAAGATGAATAATAATTAAGAATATTAGTGTTATAAAGAATAAAATTAAAGTTTTTGCAATCATTAATTTATAAATTACATTGTTATTAGTTAAGAGAATCTTAAATATCATTTATTATGGAAGTGATGATATCCTTACCTACTCTGAGTGCCATGATTATTCATAATCTCACAGCGATCTGATATAAATTTCATAAATATAATGTCTAAATATAATGATGCTTTGAAATTGATTATAAACATGTTTATTTTATTTATATATATAAGGTCCGTACACGTGGAGGTAATAAAAAGTATAGAGCCCTTAGATTGGATACAGGAAATTTCTCTTGGGGCTCTGAGTGCAGTACTAGGAAAACTCGTATCATTGACGTTGTTTATAATGCATCAAATAACGAGCTGGTACGAACCAAGACTCTGGTAAAGAATGCCATTGTTACGATCGATGCCACGCCATTTAGGCAATGGTACGAGAGTTATTATGTGCTACCACTGGGTCGCAAAAGAGGCGCTAAGCTGGTCAGTATTTAAACGTATAATTTAAAACGTATTGATAATAAAAAACGTAATAAAATCAATATGTAAAAACGTATTGATTCAAATGTATACAATATTATATGTAGGATATAAAATGGAATATAATTATTTCTTTAGACGGAAGCAGAGGAGGAAGTATTGAATAAAAAGCGTTCTAAGAAAACAGAGTCCAAATACAAAGCCAGACAACGATTTGCCAAGGTTGAGCCTGCCTTAGAAGAGCAATTTGCAACAGGACGCGTTCTTGGTAAGAAAAATTCTATTTTTTTAAATAAAATTAATATTTGTTCTTTTATAGAATTAACATTTATTAATATGATTTTTGACTATATTAATGTTTCTCTTTAAACAAATAAAACGTAAAACATACAATTTGAATCATTCATAAAATACTTTCTTTATATTATGTGAAATGTAAAAACTTGTAAAATGAAAGCATATAAAATACTTTCTTTTACATTATGTGTATACTTCAAGATTGAGAAAAGTTGCTAGAACTAAACTTTTTTTTTTTATTTCAGCTTGTATAGCAAGCAGGCCTGGTCAATGTGGTAGAGCTGATGGTTACATCCTCGAAGGCAAGGAACTTGAGTTTTACATGAGAAAGATTAAGAGTAAAAAAGCTAAATAAACATAATTATGATCCATTAATAAAAAAAGATCTTGAAATATAAATGGAACCATCTTGAACCTGTTATTTATTATTTGTTTTCGAGTGAAGGTAAAAAAAGACTCGCCAAGCTCGATAAATAAATCCGTCTTTTTGAAATATTAGAGCAATCCTTTACACGGCCTTTTTGAAAATGTTTTCTGGAAGAAGACATTTTCAATGGAAAATAATTTATATGTTTAAAAATGGGAAATGGAAAATGGGAAAATTTAAGTGATGTTAAAAACAAATTTAAAATTGAGATTCCATGACATCAAAATGTTTATCAAAATATTAAAACATTTTTTGATTTGTCGAATTGTAAATTTATGCGAAATAAAATTGGTCAATTCTTTTTTGTCCGTTTGTATGTACATATAATTTTAGTGGGGAGAAAGCTCGGCCATATTAGGTTTTCCCCTTTGATTCCCTCTACTTCTATAGAAGCTTCTATAGAATCTGCTTCGTAAAAATTTGAGTCGTCATCTGCTGCCATCTGGGTTGTTTCTGCTTGGTAAAATATGGCGGCAGTAGCAAGTGGTACATGCTTTTTCTTATTTTTTTGAACATTTTGTTCATTAACAGTACATGAATAATAATTTAAATATTTTCTTGCTTGTTGTTGCTTAACGAATAAGTTTCCTTAACGAGTGCTTTCTTCATAAAAAGTCTATTGTACATAACCTCAAGTTATATATTTTTATTTGATAGGATGGTTAAAATAATATTAGATCTTTTGACAGCGATTCTGTTTTGCAGCCTGGTTGTTAAATAGTTTTTCCACAACATATAGACACGCGATCTGCCTCAATTTTTGTCCTATTAGTTTCTTACAAGTGCGGAACTATGCTGCCAGAAAAGGCACGAGAGAAAAAGCTAGAAAGAAAAGAGTCAAAGTGGTCATTGAAAAAGTGGGTTTCATCCCACATAATCAGAGAGCAGAGTAAGCATGTTTTTATGTGGCATATTTATGAGAATATATGTAGCTATTATGTTAGTACTACTTTTCTTTCAATATCAGTAAAGCTAAGAAGAAGCCTGAGATAAAGGATATTATACCAGATGACAGCAAGAGATCAGAACCATTAGACAATGTATGGATTTCGAAATTTCATAAATGGAAAATTTATTCATTTGAAGAAGCGATGCAAAATCATCGTGAGACGCATCACCCCACTATATATAATATGCCAAATGCACATATTAATGCATTTATAGAATTGGATATGCAGGTGAAAAAAAGAAAAAGTGCAATGAAAAATTGTAATATATATAAATGAGACTATACTAAATGTATAATCATATGTTATTAGGATGTAAAAAAGACAAAATTTGTTGAAGCTTTCTCACGAATTGTATGTCTGCCACATGTATTTGATCATGGTCAAAGCAGAAAAATACTGGCGTTTTGTAAGACTTCTGAAATGGAGGATGTTGCAAGAGAAGCTGGTGCTCATTTTGCTGGTGGCAAACAGTTGATAAAAATGATTCAGGTGAAGTAAAATATGTATGTATATGATTGTATTAAAGAAATAATGATTATGAATTTGTTGAGTGATCGCTCACTCTTATTAGTATATTTTAGATTTAACATGGATCTGAAGATTCATTGTAATCACAGATGATTTCTGAGCATTCACTTAACCATCGTGTTTCTTGAATGTAATCAATATATTAGTACTTCTTTTCAATATATTGTAATCATTCATGTACCTGTTATATATATAACAAGTTTGCATGAAAAGATTATATTTTAGCGAATCATTAATTGATAGAAGTTATATTTTAGAATGGAGAATTTTCATTGAAGGAGTATGATATTATTGTAAGCGAACCAAGCATTTTACCTGATTTACTGCTGATTAGAGGACTTATGAGGAAAAAATTTCCTAGTGCTAAAACAGGTAGAAATATGTAATTAAACTTTGAAATTTTTATATTTAAGATATATTAAATGTATATATATATATATATATATATATATATATATATATATATATATATATATATATATATA